ATATACTGTATATTTTGTGTTAATACTATTGACTTTTTCTGCACACAGAGAACAAGAAGAACCAAGAGGATGAAGAAAGACAGGAAGTCAGAAAGAAGGGAGATGGTAGAAATGACAGTTCAGAAAAAAAGCCTCTGATTAATAATAAAACAGACAGAGATGAAGAAACAGAAGACAAAGAAGAAAAGAATATGAAATCTCCATGTCGGCGAGTGGAGGAAATGCACAAAGAGCAGTCGCAGCCAAATGTGGACAGGGGAAATGGAGAGGAGAAACCAAAGTCTACAAATACTGACACAGTCTCAACAGAAGAAAAAGCAAAGACTGATGATGATGAGGAAGAAGGTAAAGGAGGGAAATCTACAAATACTGAAACAGCAAATCAGGGTCCAACAGAGGGAGAAAGCCATAAAGATGAGACTCAGACAGGAGACAAAAAATCTGAGGAAGAGGCCGAGTCAAAATCTACAACACAACAAACAGAAACACAACAAAAGCTGGAGAAGAATGAGAGTCTAGAAGAAACAGGAGATCAGGGTCGAGAGGATGGAGGACCAGCAGTAGGAGCCAAAGCGACTGATGATGATGAGGAAGAAGGTAAAGGTGGGAAATCTGCAAATACTGCAACAGCAAATCAGGGTCCAACAGAGGGAGAAAGCCATAAAGATGAGACTCAGACAGGAGACAAAGAACCTGAGGAAAAGACCGAGTCAAAATCTACAACACAACAAACAGAAGCACAAAAGCTGCAAACTGATCATCCGGGTCCAGAGGATGGAGGACCAGCAAATCAGGGTCCAACAGAGGGAGAAAGCCATAAAGATGAGACTCAGATAGGAGACAAAAAATCTGAGGAAGAGGCCGAGTCAAAATCTACAACACAACAGCATGGAGGGCCAGCAAAAGGAGACGCAAAGATAGTTGGCGGTGAGGAAGAAGGTAAAGGAAAGAAATCTACAAATACTGAAACAGCAGGTGAGGGCCTAAAAGAAGGAGAAAACCATAAAGATGAGACTCAGGCAGGAGACAATAAATCTGAGTTACAGACCAAGGAGTCAAAACCTGTAGCACAACAAACAGAAACACAAAAGCTGCAAACTGAAGAAAATCTGGAGAAGATTCAGAGTCATCAGGGTCCAGAGGATGAAAGACCAGCAGGAGAAACCAAAAAGACTGGTGATGATGAGGGAGAAGGTAAAGAAGGGAAACCTACAAATACTGAAACAGCAGATCAGAGTCAAACAGAGGGAGAAAGCCATAAAGATGGAGGAGACGCCTAACCTGTGGAAGACACCAACACAAAAAACCCTCCATCACAAAGTACAAAAAAACTAGGGGAAGAGTGAAAGTTTGTCAGAAGAAACAGGAGATCAGGGTCCAGAGGGTGGAGGAAGATCAACAGGAGACAAAAAGAGTGATACAGAGAGGAAAGAAGAAAATAAAGAAACTAAACCAGAAAGTGGAGACGGACACACGACAGGAGGAGCGAGAGAGAATGATCCGAAGGGGGAAGATAAACAGGAAGAAAGAGATGATACAAATAATAAAACAAATGCTCTGGATGTGATGACAGGAGGAAGTGGCGTAGATCAGGATGAACCAGAAGATGATGTGAACAACGGAGGTGATGACACTAACTCTTTAAGTGGCGAAAGAGCCTGAGACTGACGAGACAAAGACAAGTCCAGGTGAAGGATCTTCAGTTCAGTGTTGATGGTGGAGAGAAAAAAAAAAAAACATGACCAGCAATTTAAAACAGAAAAATAATTTGGACAAGGACATGACAAACATTAGAAACGGAAAAAGGCAGCAGAGAGAAAATACAGGTAAAAATGAAAAACAATTAAAAAGGTGGAAATGATGATGATGATGGTCGTTCTCTGTTGCACAAACCTCCATTCAAGGACATAGAAAGTGGAAAAAAAAACAATGCATTTAAAAAAATATGAAATTACAGTAATGATTTCTTTTTTGTATTTTCACTTGATAAGAATTCTTTGTTCATGCGTCTCATAGTGAATCGAATGTCTTTTTATTTGCTGTTTATACTGTAAATATCTGTGAACAAACAGAATATTATTGATTATTGCAATGAAGTGCACATCCTCTGTTTAGGTTGAGTTGTCAAGGAAACACAGTCATGTTCCATCTTCTTTACAAACCAGATGTCAACAGTTGATGAGACTGAAAAATGATGACTCAAAACTGAGGTTGAGTTGTTCTGCAACTGAGGTGTGAAGGTTTTTATTTAATTTATTTTAATTGTGGAGGTTATAGGATGTGACTTCACAGCACATAAAGACATTTGTGTGTTTTATTGTATTTTTTTCAGCTTTTCAGGATCATTTAAAGATTTCTCCACTGGTTTTTCTTCATTACCAGTTTGTAATATTTTGTATTGCTGTGGCCTTCACCCTTCAGTGGATGCTAATCTGTACTGTTCATTTATGAAATAAAGCCAAAGATTCCTGCAGTCTTGTCTTCATATACGTAAACCAGCAAATTTTCCAGAATCCTATAAATGTTCACACTAATGTCGATCACATTATTAGACAGCAGATACAACAAGGTGGTTTAACTGTTCCACTAATAAGAATAGAGGCTGATGCTGTGAGTTAAATCTAAGTAAAACTGAACTGACTGATCAGATCATCAGGTGAAATCCAAGGATACGTATATGGAAAGAAGATAAAAGTAATAAACTCACACAATGACACTGCCTTTCAATAGATTTCCAATTTAATCCACAAAATACCACAGTTTAAAGTGCATGTGACAGCGGCTGTATTATCTTAGTGTAAATTCAGTTTATAAATGTGTTTCATTACAGAAAATGTGAATACTTTGATGCAGATGTACAGCAGGACAATACTGGATTACATGTTTTTCCTATAGTGGTGACAGTTTGTTATTTGCAATAAATGTAATTTAAAATTCAGTTCTTACATATTATGCTTGAAAAAAAAACACTTTAAAAATGTATAAATACAATTTCATAGAAAATTTACAAATTCAACTGTATTATTTGTCACTTGTTCTTCAACACATCAGTCTCTCCTTCCTCGTCAGGTGTCTCTACTCTTTTTGTGAGCTCTAAAAGAAAATATATAAAGATTATATCTGTGCACAGGTTATAACATTACCTAAATACAAAACAAACATAAGCAAGGAACAAAGGTCCTGTAATGGCACCATTCATTCATGAAGGCCCTGTGAAATGTTTGAAAGCTCAGGGAAAGGCCACATAAGTGAATCCTTATTTTAGAACATTTTTTTTCATGAGTGAACTGATTATTTTCAGGTTTTATGCTGTTAATAAAACAGAATGAATGGAAGAAAATTTCCTGATTTATTATTTTTTTGTAAGACACTGTGTCAATTCATGTCATTTAGTAGTGACGGGAAGTTTGATTTCCTTAAAAAAAAAAAAAAAAATTAGTAAAATTAAGAAGCAGTTGACCACCTGTCTCACCTGGACAGGTGAATAGAAATCTTCCTCCTCTGGGTCTTTCAGAAACAAGTAGAATTCATCATTCGTCTTAAGATGCAAGAAAACTCATGATCTGAAAAAATAATAATAAAAAAAATCGAAAATACATATTAATTAGATGAGAATCCAACTCAAATACCTAAACATTCTTATTAACCTAATCAATTAAAACCATATGTAAGAATGCTCAATTATTATGAAAATGAATGATAGTTGTCAGCTTGATAAAGCTGTCTGAAATGAAGCGGTCGATGATAAAATAAGCCACTGATGTAAATAAAGTCAAACTCTTTTACTTTTAAAGAGTGACAAGAATTTCTAATAAAACGATGTTTCAACAAGTTTCCAGTGTTCTTACAATATTATTGTTTCTTGACATTTGGTCTGTTTTATATTGTGATATAAAAGTAACATGACCTTACCTTTGCAGAATTTCTCTTTGAGGTAACCTTTGGACTAACTGTCACTTTATAACTGTACAGATTAGTTTCATTGGTGTTTGTAAGATTAGAATATAAAAGACAATTGGCCTCTATGGTCAAGGCAATGTTTCAAGACTTTCAAGAAACCTAAAAGAAATACACTGATCATGTAATAATTGTTAACTTAAACACACCTTATCTCAATAGTTCTGAACATTATTCTGTCAAGCTCCACTGATAATTATGGGGAAAAATATTTTGCATTGCCATGAGGTACCGAAGTACACAAAACTCACATAAGAGTAGCTGCCACAATAAAGTAATCACTAGAATAGTACAGGGTAACAAACTGTTTGGTTAATAATTAATCAGATCAAATCTTGTCATTACTTTATTCCGTATTATTCCTCTGTTCATGTACAGTGTGAGATGATAAATCTATCTGCATTAAATTTTCTTTCACTTATTAGACTTTGTCACAAACAGTTTACAAATTGCATAGACTGATACATAGGCTATTTTCTAAAAGGCCTGAGATCAGTGTGTTTTGGTCTGTATTTTGTTTATTTAAGCTTCTCAGACACAAACCACACACTTTCAAAACAACAGACAAAAAATATGCACCTCAGGAGGATCTGAAGCAACAACACAGATTACATAATGTTTGATAGAAAAACCTAAAAACCAACATGTTGTGACTAATTCATAATCATTTTAGACAAGGCAAAGGTTATTTAAATGACACATTTAATTCACCATAAGACAAAAATATCTAAACCATTTTGTTTTTTAAATCAGAGATATTAACCTCTCATTCAGAGTTCAATATTTTGTTTGTGTCCTTTTTCTTCAATTTACCCATAAAAGAAGTGTCGCTGGATTACTGAAAAAAAAACATGATAATTCTCAACCAAGATCAGAAGCATCTTTTCTGTTGGTTAATTGGTGGAATTATGGATGTTTATTTGCACTGGTTATGACAGAATGATATCCTCAGACAGTGCAAGTCACACATGTCTATGTAGTTTACTCTCAATCTCTGACCGATCTCGACCCTCTGCTCTATGACTCTCCACCTGCATGTCAGTTTACTTCTGATGTTTTTTAATTCTGTCTTTTATAATGCCTCCAACCTCCTCCTGTGTCTTCGCTAGCAGCTTCCTCATATCCATGATGAGTCTTTCATGTCTGTTCTGTTGGTTCACCAGCTCATGCTTGACCCTTGTTATGATATCTTTCAGCTTTAAGTAACCGTCTGCTTTGTTCTCAGTCTTAGATCCCGCCTTCGCTGTCACTTGGTCATCCACTGAATTCAGCTTCTTCTCTAGCTCGTCGCTCAGTCTTTTGTCCTCTTCCAGTTGCCGTTGTAGTTCTTCTACCCAGTGACTTATTTCTTTTTGACTCAGTTTTACCATTTCTTCTCTTGCCCTGAGAGGCTCTCCTTGTTCTTCCACTTCATTGTGCTTCTTGGTGTCTTTGGGCAAAAAGAGTGAAACTTTAAAAACAAAAAATGACACAATCCTAAAATGAGGTGACGAAATATTTTGTAAATTAAAAACCATACATATATGACAAATAATATTACTACAGCCCACACAGCACAGGTCCCGAGGGTTATTCATAGTCTGTATTACCTGCAGTAGATTCAGATCTGCAAAGTGCCAGTTAAGGGAGGCAGCAGGGAGCACCGGTACACTAGCAGAGAGATGTGTTGCTGTGAGCCGGGCCAGCAGAAAAAAACATGTTTTAGACACTTTGAAAAGATGCCCACTGAAGCAATCCAATTTCTGTTTAAATGTATGCTTCATATAGAATATTTTCAGCAATTTATCTTCCGATGAAAACAGCACTTTCCTTTTGTAATATGCCACTTTTTGATTCACTCAGCTAACCTGTGGCTGTGGCATAATACAGTGTGCCCCGTAGGTGTGCTTGTGCATAGGGATACAGTAGTTCAGTAGTTGAAAAAAAATTTAGTGCCAATGGAAAGTGCCATTTTCATGGAAAGATAAGCCGCTAAAAATATTCTACATGAAGCATATATTTAAATGGATATTGGACTGTTTTGTTGGGCATTTTTAAAAGTGTTTAAAACACTTTTTTTCTGCTCGCCCCACCCACAACAACACATAGCTCTGCTAGTGTGCAAGTGCTCCTCTCTTAACTGGCAGTGTGTTGATCTGAATCTACTGCAGGTATATACACCGACTATGCCTGACTACCTCATACAACCCCACATCAAATAACCCAAACTGCTCCTTTAAGTTTTTTTTAACATTTCTTGTTTGAATGTAAATGAAATTACTATAAAAAGGAAATGAAAATAAACTACAAAAGTGGTGCACAATTCCTACATCCACTGCTGGATAAATACAAAAAAAGTCACATAAGCTAGTAAAATAATCTGTGATAAAGTCACTCTTACAGTTATGTCTCCATTTCCAGATAACAAAGACAGCTGCAGTAATGATCATGAAACCAACAACCAAACCAATTATGATGTGAACAGAAGAGCAGACACTGAAGAAATCATCTGAAATCATAAAACACAGATCAACACTGAATTAAACTAATGGTACAAGCTAGAACAGTGAATATATACATTTATAAATCATCTTTACCCGCAATTTGTATCTGTGTCTCTCTGGTCTGGTTGATGATCTTCTGTTGGACTCTACAGGTGAAGTTGTTGCTGTGTCTCTTCTCCACAGTCACTCTGCTGCTGACAGTATAGAGGTCATCAGGACCTCTGACTGTCTCTGTAGGTCCAGCAGAGAGCAGCTTTCCCTCACCGTCCAGCCACAACAGCTCAGGCTCTGGATACCAGCCTTTAGACTTACAGTCTAACACCACTCCCCCTTTGTCTCCGTCATTCCCTGCTAAACTGATGACAGGTGAGGAGACTGAACCTAGTGATGGACAGAAAAGAAATTTCACTGTAACCAAAATCAAAATGGTATGCCAACTGGGTGTAAGAATACTCGATTTGTGTTACCACCAAAGGCTTTAGTTGAACATGAGATGTTTCAGTTGGATTTCTTATACATATAAATGGCATCTCAAAAATATAGCTACAGTCAGAGACCTTGTGTCTAACCAAGACTTAAAGAAATTCATACATGCCTTTATATCCTCCAGAGTTGATTTTTGCAATCATCACTGGCTCACCTAATAAGACCATTAGATAGTTGCAGCTTATCCAGCTGGAATCAGCCCCCACTGGAGATCAAATCTGCCCAAACTGTACCTAGCTTTAAAAAGAAGCTAAAAACTGTCTTCATCTCTATTTTAATCTTGCACTTTTATGAGATATCTATTTTTGTTTTTGTTTCTGTTTTTATACTTTGTTATTTTTACTTCTATTTTTATGATTCCTTTATGTCTGTTAAGCACATTGAATGACCTCTGTGTATGATAATGTGCTATGCAAATAAATTTGCCTCGCCTATATGTTGTTTTTCAATTCATGAGCAGCTCCATTGTCTTGCAGTGAAGGGCGAAAACTTAGAGATAGATTTTACAAAACCTGGACAAATAAAAATAAAACCTGATGCATGGCTGCATCCCACTATACTGATCTATACTGATCATGTGCTCACTTCTCTGCATGCGTTGTCTGTGACAGTGTGTTGAGTTCTTTTATACAGTACCACTCTGTAGAAGCCTTCCTTGGATGAGTAAAGGTAAAAAAAATATGTAAAACCAACAGAGTTTCACTTACCAACAAAAAGGTCAATAGTTGATGCGCTCTTGCCAGGCACGAAGCATTTGTATGTTCCGTTATCTGAGAGTTTTACTGGAGAAAGTTTCAGTGAAAGGTCTCCATACCACAGTTTGTCACTGAACAATGATGTTCTTCCTTTATAGGATGGATGTTGGTTAGTCAAAAGTTCCTCATTGTCATGCCTCACATGGACAAATTTGGGCTTCAGGTCAGGTCTTGACCACTCAAATGTCTCCTTCACAGCATCCATGGCAGGTTCCAGGTGACATGGCAAAATGATGTCATCACCAAATTTCGCCACTATAGGTCCTGTTGGACCAATAACCTGAGACTGACCTGAAATAAAAATAAATCTTAGTTCACATATGAAAGTCTATTGACAGGGAACAAATAGGCCTACAATCTCCCAGCACAAGCAGAGTAGGGTATGGGAAACTTTTTTAATGTTAGTTTTAGTTTGGTGACCAGCAGCAGAAACACACACTCAGTGTGGTATCTTCCAATGTGAATACATGGAAAGATTTAGACAGATTTGATAGAGCTGAAACCAAATCCAAATCACTGCAAATATATTTCATCATCAAAAAACCAACATGAAAGGTGTTCCTTATTTTGGAGACCAAAGGTAAAGCTTCCATTATCATGATAAGTAAAGTTCTGTGCAGGTGAAAGCACAATTTTATGCCAAAGTGACCACCAAAAATCACACTACACCACCTGATTTGCAAAAACAGCTGTTGTCACACTACCTCACCCATTTTAATGAAAGTGGGTTTGTATAGAGCCAGGAAAATACAAAATGAGTGAAATGAATAAAAGCACAATATGAGAGTGCATTTTCACTACTGCTATCTGTGACAAAAACAGTCCTGTGTGTCTATTGTCGAATGATGATCCCAAATTTGTATGTGTGGGAAAGATAGTGAATATCTGCTTGAAGTTCCCTTTTTTTATATAGAATTCACACAAGTGACCTGACTTGAATTTGACCTTGGTAAGTTAAGCCATCGACCCAAGATAAAAAAAAAAAAAATCCATTAATGAAAGATAATACATAAAATACAATACCAAATTATCTATTTGACTTTAGATTACATTTAAAACGATTGATAGTTGACTCAAATCATTGGATTGTTTGGATGGGAAATCTCACATAGATAACTGAGTCTCTGTCTGCAGGAAATTTAATTTAATGAGATATCAATCTTTTAAGAAATTCAGTTAAGATTTAATATGTAAAAACTTGTATTTTGTGGTTAGCTGAAAGCTATTACTATGTTTCTAACAAGAAATACAGCAATTAGATAAGGACTATATATTACGCTACAAAAGTCAAAAAATAGAAAATAAAAAAATGGATAGCATGTATGTATTGGTTACAATGTAGTGTTGCTAAAGTGTTCGTAGAGTTTATTACCTGCACAAGAGCATATTAGGAGGAGAAAAACAATGTGATGGAAAACTGAGGCACTGAGTCGAGGTTTAGGCCAAAACATCATAAAGATCTGAAAATAAATATATTAGATAAAGAAATATGTTATTTCCCTACAACAAAATAACACATGAATAACAAGAATAATACTTAAAGCAAGAGAATGTTTCATCAACCAGAGCCATAAAGTTGTTGTATTTCCTCATTTATACTGTGCAGAGGTTTGAGGTCAAACATAAAATACGCCCAAGTCATTTGTTTCCTCAAAAAACTGAATCACACAGAAATGTGAAACTAACTACTGTGTTTCAGTAGTATAGATTTTCCTCAACATACAGTATATCCTAAGTTTATCTGATGATAAAGGGTATACTATAAAAAGAACCTTTGAGAGGCCCCACCTTTCCTTTTTTTTTTTTTTTTTTTTTTGAACATACAGAACACACGATGTGGAATATAAATTAAACTTAAGTGTTCCGATATCCAGCTTCAAAAATTACACTTTTACAAACTCTGTATTAGAATTGAATGTACAAGCAATTACAGAAAAAGCAAATATTTCAAAACTTCCATACCGGTTTTCTGCAACAAAGCTCCAGCAGAAAGTTGAGATAAGCTGCATGGTCAAAGTCCTCACATAAAATCATACATTGTACTGGTGATCTGTAACAGGAAGAGGTGTGTCTCACTTCGTCTTCCTGTCCATCTGCAGTAACCTAAAGTTTTCAATTCAAATCTCTGCCATTTTAGCTCGACAGTTTGAATTTCAAATATCACTATCACACTCACTTGGTCTGAAGAATGAAGAGATGTATTGAAAAACATTTGCATTGTAACTTTATTTCAGGAGATGCATGAAACAAATGGTTTAATATATATTCTATATTAACCATTTTCTCTCAACAATTTGAATTCAAGACATTTAGCGAAAGCATTGCTTGACAGCTGTAATCAGGAGCACATCCAGCCCACATTCTCAGAAAGCATATTAAAGATCCTACCTAATAACTAAAGCCTAATAACTTTAAACATTAATACACTAGATGTCAGAAAACTTATCATTGGTAAATAGAATTCAGCATCAGCGTCTAAGAATGAGACATTTTTGTTTTCCTGTGTATTTTTTTTGTTGTTTTTTTTAAATGACAATCAAATAAATAAACAATACAATAAATATATTAAGCAATAAAAAGCATATAAATAATCATATTTGCTACACAGGTTAATAACTAAATACTACAGTTATCTGTTTGGAGAAAATACAATTGTGGGGTGAATGGTGGAGCTGGTGGAAAAATATTTCAATTTGTGAAATTACTGTAATTATAGAAACCTCAACTTTGTATTTATTCACTTTCAATTCACAGAGAGAAATTAATTGTTTTAAATGTTCATTTTTCAAAAATTCCTAATAGGAAATGATAAAATAACCAATAAACACTGCTGGGAACACATGTCAATCATTAATCAATTCAGAAAAGACTGATGGCCCACCATCACCTCAAGTGGCTTTATTACAAACATTTGATGATTTAACATTAGACACTAACTCAACATCCATTGACCAAAGGAACAGAATTAATTAAAAACATTAAATCACACTTTACAAGCAACAAAATCTGTGTAGCAAGCAAGAACAGTAGATGTAGAGTGTTCACTAACAGTAATTCATAATTAGTTCATGTTACAGCAGCTTTTAAAACAAAGTTGTGGTGTTTCATAAAGGTAAGTTAATTATTATTCTAAATTTAAAGCTGAAAGAATAATTGTCAAACAAAAAGGCAATTAAAGCAATTAAACGTATAACATAAAAAAGTAGTCATGCATTTTATAATCCTCAGACTTTGAAAATAATTTAAGTGGGTATAGTGACAAGCCTCCAGCCAAGAGCAAGTTTGTTCAATCCTGATATGAAACTCCACCAGCTCATATGTCCTCTCATCACAAACCCAAACTTGGTGCTTTCTATTGACATGATTTTCTCTGTTTGTTTTTTCCCTTTTTGAATTTAAATCTAAAAAATTTGCGTTTTCTTTTTTTTCTCTCCGCTTCCTCCATCTGAGTTTGAACATCTTCCATGTCACTGCCTACCTCTGTCTTTCTCTTTTCCACTGTCAAGGTTGCATCGTTAAAATTCTTTGAGCATGTGTCAGATTGATTACTCAGATTCTCAAGTTCTGCCTTTATTTTTGTCAGTTTACACTTAATCTCAAATAGATTGTTATCTGAGATTATCATCCCTTCCCTAATCTGTGATATTTCAATTTCCATTGACTTTATACCTCCATTTAACTCCTTCACTTGATCTTTGAGTTGGCTTGTCATTTTGTCCACTTCTTCCTTCAGTTCTTCCAGGTTTTTAAGCATCTTCTCATTATGTTCCTGTTCTTTCTCTTTTTGCTTTAACTCTTGTTTAAGCTCTTCCACTTTCTTCTTTCTGAAGTGTCTTCTGCCTTATGTAGGAACAATGGTGTTAATCAAATATTTTACATTTTGAACAGTGAACACCTTGTGATGAATGTTTTATTGTCATGGAGACATCCACAAGACTTACTTGTATTACACTGCTGTTGTCCCTCTGGCACTTTCTCCTCCTTACCGTTTTCCTCACCTTATGTACATATAACATACATCACATCAGAAAGACAGAACAGAAATGTGACATTAATAGAAAAGGTAAAAACAAAAGAAACTGTTCCCTGACTGAAAATAATAACAGAAGATGAAACAGACATCAAAAAGAAAATGGTGCTAATCAAGATTCACTCTACATACATCGCATCACCATAACGTTTTATGTTTTGAACAGTGAACACCAACACTATAGAGTCATGGGAGTGCCATAAAAAGAACAAATCTGTAAAAGAATAAGAAAACAAATGTGGAAATATAAACAGGAATGAATAAAAGAGTAAATAAATTAAAAATGTGGAAATATAAAGATAAATAAATGAAACTAAAAAAATGCTTTTACCCATTGCAAATGTGTTTTTTTTTCAAACTTATTCAGCAGTTCAACACAGCTAGTTAGCATGGGTGCCGTGCTTAAACCCCTTTCACACTGGACCGGAGGGGCACAGTGGTATGACATAACATGTAGTGGACTTAAGTACAACTATTGTAGCCTGCCCATCTGCAGGCAGACCCCTCTCCTCCAACAGCAATAGGTTAAAAGCAAAAGCAATACAGTAAAAGCATTTTTTATTATCTTATTTATTTCCTTTATATTTCCAAATTTTATTTTTATTCATTACACTTCTTATACAGATGTATTCTTTTTAATGGCACTCCTATGACTCCATATACCTGAGGTTGAATGTTTTATGTGTGTAGAAACAACCAGAAGATTTACCTATCTTTAACAGTTGCATTTCCAGGTTCGGTTGATCTAGGAGGTTGTCCTTTTCCCCGTTCGGTTCTGTCAATTGGCCACATAACAAATTCAGAGAACAATATGGCACTCATAGAACACAAGATAAAAACTTTGTAAAAACGCTACTTTTTTTGGACAAATTCATGTCCTCCATGAATAAACTAATGTCTAAGTTATCTGAATGTTTATAAAGCACAGGCAACAGTGCACAGACATTTTGTCTTAGCTCAAAGTAAAGTTCAACACAGACTAGACACTACATATTTTTATAAAATGTTTTCAACCCAAAATATAATTACTTTTGCATTTTAACAATGACCTGTGGCACAATTTGTATATTTTTTAAATCAAATACCAACCATTAACCAACCTTGCACTCTTACCATTGGAACTGTGATATAAGCCCATGGTGAAGCAAGAAGTATAAACCAAATCAACTGAAATTATTAAACAGAGAAATATCAATAACATGACGGTAAAATCAGTAAGAAAATGCCAATACTGTATTTACAAAGCTTGTTTCAAACAACATGGTAAAACAAGATCAATGGTGAGCCCTCAGTGCACTGGTTTGAGAATTCACTGGTACAACCCAGAGGAAAAAATGACAGTTTTCATAAAACAACACTAATCTTCTTCTCTGCATATAATTTTTGAGGGAAGACCAGCTTTAAACAAACAGAAAATAATTGTTTTCTACAATGAAGAAATTCATTAAGTAATTAGATGTATAGTTTTTAAAGCTCACATACCTGTTGTGCACGTCAAAACTCCAGTTCAGCCTAGGGGAAACGCAGCTGCATGACCAAAGTCCTCCAATAAAAAAAGTACTCCAATCGTGAACAACAGTAATCAGTTAAGGTGTGTTCACCTTGTTTTACATGCTGCAGCCTGGATCAATGTACATGTGCATTAGATTTAAACCTCATGAACAACACTCTATGCATGCTTATGTTTAAAATATAGTGACAATTAGAGTATCAGTACCGACAGTGTTTTCAGATGGTCAGGACTGCATCTCTCTATGTATGCATCTATATATTTCTTTGCAGTCTTCATATCCTAGTGCTACATTTCTTTATTGTATAATTTAAAAATGGATGACCGACTGCAGAGGGCAGAATTGGGCTTCTTTCATAAAACTGTGTAGTGAAGTCACACTTTGTTGTTATTGAGATTCCTATGAGACAGAGGTTAATATAAGTTTCTTTTCCTCACTACAACCTCTGTTGTAAATACACAGTATATGTACTATATGTTCACCTGCTCTTAAGAGACGAGGAAGTGTTTTAACAAAACGCACTCCTGAGTTGTGTGAAACCTTGCACATTCATTAGAATGTGAAAACAAAAGGGGTTTTTAGTTTGACACAAAATTGACTTTGAATATACAAAACTTGATGGAATGGCATCATCATGGCTTTACTTGTTAAATGAATAGAGATAATAAAAGGCAGAGCAGGTGCTAGATCAACTCAAACTGAAAGTGAAAGTGTTTAAGACACACAAGAATCAGGGGGATAATTGATGTTCCTTATGTTTAATACATGAATGATTACATAATAGACACCATCACACACACACTCAGTTCCTCTCTCAATTAACACTTCCTTACACAGCAAATTAGTGAACTAAGTTTAGCTTTTCCGAATGATTCAGCTCCTTGAAATTAGTCCAGTTGGGTCAGAACACACGTCACTTTACAAGCTTTGCCGCAAAGTTGTTAACAGAAAATCTGCACATCTTCTGCTTACAACCATTTAGCACACATGGCAAAATCAGCTAGATTATTTCTTCAACCAGAGCAGCTCTACTTCACATATTTTTAGAACCAAAACTCTCACATGCTGTTGCTTCTATAAGAGGCCAAACAGGAAGAAGGTCACACTTGCATTTATTTCTGTTTCAGTCTGATGGTGACAGCAGCAAGACAACATGGAGGTTACAGCTCTCTGCATCACACTATGTGAGTAGTCATTTTGTTTGTCACATTCTTTAGAAAGCTTTTGGCAAAAACCTTTTTTTCTTTTTTACAAAAGGTCAGACATTACAACACTTTGTTGGGAGATGGGAGATGTAAACCTAAGATTTTCCTTTTACCTAGGAAGCATCTACAGATTACAGCAGCTATATTTTCTGTTCTTGATGGTTCATGATATTCTAGCATGAACACAGACGTGTAAAGGTCAGTATTTCTGAAACAACTATTTTTTCTCTCTCTCTCTAGTGATTAATGCGATTCTTGTAGCAAAAGTTCACAACAGTAATGGTCAGAAATATGGTAAGTTGCAGTTACTGTTTTTAATGCTTTATATTAGAGGGGGTTATATCAGATTTGGTTTATTTGATGTGGCGTTGTGTGAGACAGTCATGCATAGTCAGTGTATTACCTGCAATAGATTCAGATCAGCGCACTGCCAGTTAAGGGAGGCAGCAGGGAGCACTGGTACACTAGCAGAATGATGTGTTGCTGTGGGCAGGCCAGAAGAAAAACGTGTTTTAGACACTTTGAAAAGATGCCCATTTAGCGCGTTGTCTACTGCAGGTAACACACTCACAACGCATGACTGCCTTATACAACCTCACGTCAAATAACCTAAACTATTCCTTTAAGATTTAGGACTTAACAGAAATATCCCCACTGACTAACAATAGTGTTTTTGGTGTTGCCTCGATCATTGAGGTTTCCCTCATTTGCAATGATGTCGAGATATACACAGTATTGTCCTCTTTTGAAGTGTATCACTGTATGTCAGTGATACACTTCAAAAGAGGACAATACTCAGTGAAATCATTTGCCCATTGAGGTGAGCTGGCTTGAGATCACGTTCTTGAATTGTGCACGGGTGGCGAGGAGTGTGTCGATCTAGAGAGTATGTTGTAGATGATTCCATGTGTGTTTGGTGCACAAAAACTTACAATTGCACTGCACGTGTAAAATCCATGGCAGTTATACAAAACATCTAGTGTCACTAAATATTTGAGAGAACAAAATTAATATAAGTAATAATGCAGAGCATTAAGCAGGAAGTACGTCCATATTGGCCATTATTAATTTTACCATTTGTGCCACTATATAGGAAGTAGTCTAACCTTTATGTAGTAACATGGATTGTACCAGTGTGGTAATCAGGGTGGTGGATGGTCATGTAGAATGTGCCATGTTATTGACTCTAACCACATCTTTTCTTAACCTTAAGGGTTTTAGTTGTATAACCCTATACATCATGGCTTAACCATAAGGAAACTTTTTTAAAAGATAAGAAATGTAAAATAACACATGCCTAAAATATGTTGTAGGAGTGATGATGTTGAGGTTGTAAAAATAACATGGAAATTCTTTAACTTAAACATTTTTGTCTCTGGCTCAGATGCAGGTTTTCCCCATATTTTTCCAAACAGACTTCAGTTCTTTTTATACGAGTCAATCTCTGTAAATTGTGTGGAGTTTGGTGGGCCACATGAATGGAGAGTGATGAGGAAACGGAAGGAATTTACTCCGACAAATGCCTCTTCCTGGAAGACATCAACAAGATGCCGCACCATTCAAAGTGCCTATCCAGCAGACAGTGGAGTGTACTGGTGTGAAGATGAAGAGGGGGAGAGAAGTAATGCAGTTAACATCACAGTTACTGGTATGTTTGACAAAGTATACATCAAGATCTATAGTACTTATTTTCTTAAAGTGAAAATAAACATGATTCATCATTTGCTCTTCATCTCGAAGAAACAGTAAGGTTAAATCACTGAAATAAAGTGAATGCTGTAGTTTTCTACTTAAAGTCCAGGGGACTGTTTAACAAAAGCAATTTGGGAAAAAAAATACTGCAAATGGCAAAAAGACTACATTTGTAAGCTCTACATTCCCATTGATTGTGTCTGAAGCATGGTATATCTTAATTTTTTGAATGTGTATTGACCCAAGAGAAAATTATGTCATGTTGCAGTTTGTATGTTTAAAATATGGTGCACAAGCCCCAGAAGCTACCGCTATT